GACCCCCGGAAGGCGCGAGGGCTCCCGAGGAGCCCCCCCGCCCTCTGAGAAGGCCTGCCCCCCTCACTTCGCCGTTCCTCTGGTGTCTTCGCTTTTCAACACGGGTTCCCTGGAGCTCTGGACCACTTCGCGGGAACTGGGCGTTTGTCGCAGACCAGACCTTAACACACTAAGACGTCAAGACCCTAACACCCTAAGACACTGAAGCCGTAAGACACCCAGTACACTAAGACCCTAAGGTTCCAAGAGCCTGAGTCATCAAGACCCTAACACACAAAAACCCTAAGACCCGAAGACCCTAAAGCCTGGATGCCTTAAGGCCCGAAAGCTCGAAGACCCTGAGGTCACAGACCCCAAAGACCCTAGCTCACTAACACACGCACACATGCCCGAAGGCCCTAACACGCCAAGCGCCTAAAATCCCAAGCCCCCAACACACTACAGCCCTCAGACCCCTAAAACCCGAAGAGCCCCTGGCCCCAAGGCCCGAAGACCGTAAGAGCGATCCTAAGATCCGAACGCACTAAAATCCGAATCGCACAAGACCCTCACACGCTGAGACCCTGAGGCCCTCAGATATTACAGCCCTAAGACCTTAATGCACGAAGCCCCCAAGACAATACCCCAAACTCACGGGGACCCGAAAACACTACGTAAGTGGCCAAGACCCCAGGACCATAACGAGCAAGGCGCGTCGGGCGGGCGGACATGTCAGTGGTGCGCATCGTCGAATTGGCACGCGTGCATCCTCACGGGCGGATCGGGTTGGCCGAGCGGGCCCTAGCGGGCGGGTTGGGTCCTGCTCCTCCTCCTCCTCCTCTTCCTATACCTCCTCCTCTTCCTCCTCCTCCTTCTCCTCTCCTCCTCCTCCTCCTTCTCCTGTTATTCCTCCTCTGGCTTCTCCTCCTCCTCCTCCATCTCCTCCTCCTCCTCCTCTCCTCCTTCTTCTCATCCTAGTCCCCCTCCTCCTCCTCCTCCTCCTCCTCCTCCTCCTCGTCCTCCTCGTCCTCGTCCTCGTCCTCGTCCTTCTCCTCCTCCTTCTCCTCCTCCTCCTTCCTCCTCCTCCTCCTCCTCCTCCTCCTCCTCCTCCTCCTCCTCCTCCTCCTCCCTCCTCGTCCTCGTCCTCGTCTTCGTGTTTGTCTTCGTCTTCGTAATCCCCCTGCTCCCCCACCTCGTCCTCATACCCGACCTGGCGCCCTAACCTTCAGACACTGAGGCCCTAAGACTCTAAAGGTCTGCGGCCCCTAACACCTTAGCGCCCCAAGACGCTACCACCCGAAGACCCTGACGCCCCGCCCTCAATCGTATCCTAACGGGCGGGCCCGTTCGGGCGGGAGAGTCCTAGCGGGCGAGACGGCCGGGCGTGCGGGATAAACGGGCGCGGTGAAAGTTCAGAAAGCGACGACAGTGCTGCGCGTGAGGCCTCCGCTCGTCTCCGGCGCGCCCGCCTTGGAAGCCGTCGCCCCCGACTCGGTCGAGGCATCCCCACAGTCTCGGGGCGGGGCAGAGACACCGGCTGAGATGCCCCAGCTGCGCCCTCGCCCTCTCGCGCGGTACCGCCAGGCGACGCGAAGAAGAGAAGCCCGCAGCTGCAAGCAAGCGCCTCGCTTCATAGATCCCCACATTCTGAGCGCGAGCGACTACGCCTGCCAGAACGCGATGATCATGCGGCCCGTGGAAGGACGATGCGCGCATGTCTGTGTTCGTGTGTGTGTGTGTCTGTGCTCGTGTGTGTGTGTGTGTGTGTTTGTGTGCTTGCGTGTTGTCTTGACATAATATGAAAAGAATAGAACATTTCCCCCTTGCAGCAACACAGAAGACCATACGGAACGACGCCTCCAACCCGCAGGCCAGCAACGGCCGACGACCAGATCGACCAGGGGCCTCCCGAAAAATCCAGTTTATTGTGAGTGTGGTTCTTCGCTGCGCCCAGAGAACCTCGGATCCAAAACTTCCCTCCCTGGGCACATTCCTCAACGAAGGCCCCGCCGTACCTCGTTTCCCAGACGCTACCGCAGCGCACTCTAACCATGGAGGTCCTGGGGCACACCAGGCACCTCTGATGACTGGCTGTCGAAGCACCCCGAGGCTGGAGAACCCGCCCAGCACCGACGAAAACGCCCGAACACCTCGAAGTGACCTCGGACCCGATACTTCCCCCCCTGAAGCTCGCCGCCCGTCCCCAGAGATCCGATGTCGTGATTTTTTCAATACGCGGCCCCCAGAAGTCTCGACCCATTTCCCAGGACCGGCTTTTCACCCTGAGTCGTTTTTTGACGGTCCCGAGGCCCGGCGAGGGCCTCTAAAGGCCGAAAACGGCGAAAAACCTCCGTCTTGATTTTTTCAATGCGCTGGATCTCTGGGTCCTCGTCCAGGGCGGCGGCGGACGCACCGGCGGCCAGCAGCGCGCGCACCGCGCCGGCGTGCCCCGCGAGCGCGGCGTGGTGGAGCGGCGTGGCACCGCTCTCCGGCTCCCGCTCGTCCACGGTGCCGCCGAGACCTGTGAGCACGACGACGACGACGGCGGCGACGGCGACGGCGACGACGACGACGGCGACGACGACGACGGCGACGGCGGCGACGACGACGACGACGACGACGACGACGACGACGACGAGCACGACGACGACGACGATCACGACGACGACGGCGGCGACGACCACGACGACGACGACGACGACGACGGCGACGACGACGACGGCGACGACGACGACAACGACGACGACGACGACGACGACGACGGCGACGACGACGACGACGACGACGACGACGACGGCGACGACGACGGCGGCGACTACAACGACGGCGGCGGCGGCGGCGGCGGCGGCGACGACGACGACGCCGCCCTCCAATTGAACCGATCCCTATCCGCACTGGCGTGGCCTGGGCCATGGGCTGTTCCCTTTGGGTTCTGAGGGGCCTATCCCATACTGGGGTGGTGGGATGGTGGGATGGTGGGGCTCCCGCTCGTCCAGGGTGCCGCCGAGACCTGGCTGGTTCCCGAAACCCTGAGTCCCAAACATGTTGCCATATCTCTTGGGGACGCTTGTTTTACTTCCGCCAGCTTCCACTGGTGGAGGCGGCCTCTTTCACTTTCGCCGCATTCATGAAGCTCCTTCGATCCTGGAGGCGAGGCCCTTTCCGGAACGCTCCCGCTGGTGCGCGATGCGCGCGAGACCTACGAGCATAGTTTACGGTCGGGAACGTCTGATTAGCGAGTCGCTCCGCTTCAAAGGTCGGGGAGGGCTCGGGACGTTGACGACTCGGGATCCGGAAATGAGTAACGTTTCGCGACGAGACGCGGTGGGCCAGACCCGACGGTGCGACATGCTATCCACAAGCCCCCGATCGTAGTTTAACCAATCCTTCTGCGCACTGGCGTGGCCTGGGCCCCACTGGCCGCTCAACCCCCCTAGGTGGGGATAGAGGCTGTTCCCTTCGGGTTTCGAGGGGCCTATCCCCAACTGGAGTGGTGGGATGGTGGTGCTGAGCTACCATGGCCCGGATCGGCTAAACGATCCTGAACTTGGACCCGAGACCTCCAAACATCTGATGTTGAGATCCTGGCATTTTCCAGTAACGAGCATCGGGCCGACGGGCTTCGGACGATTTCGTCTGGCTTCGGGATGCGTGCCAGCCGGCTGCGCCTCTCCGAAGGCGCTCCCAGGGGTGCCCAGATCGTCCCCGAGCGGCCGCTGGACGAAAACAGCAAAGACGAGGAAGAGCTGCTTTTCACTGCGGCCCCTGCGTGGGGGGCGCCCAAGGAGGAGGGCGCCTCTTTCGGCCTCTGCGTGGGGGGCGTCCAAGAGGGGGGCGCCCAGGAGGCGGGGGCGCACATCCTGGCGGGCGGCACGTGCGCGGCCCAGGGAGGGGGGGGGCCGTGGACGTATTGAAATGACCATAAGGTCTGGGGAGAGATCATGGCCCCCCATGATAATTCACCCCCTCCTACTGTCCTCGCGACACGTGAGAGCGAAACTCAGAAGACGGCGAGCTTCGGGCCCGACAAGTTAGTTACGAAAGACGTCGAGGCCGCACTGGGCGAAGTTCGTTAGCGAGTAAGCGAAAGCGCCGAGAGGACGCAAGGCTGAAGTTAGCATCTCCGCAGTAGTCATCGCCCCCCTTTTGGCCGCCCCCGAGAAGTTATCGGGCGCCGAGGCTATCGGAGATGGGCACGGGAGGGAACACTACCCACCAGGGGTCGGGACCTCTGGGGCCGCGCGCTGAACAAAGCATATCGGAGGGCGTCTGGGGAGGGCAGAAGAGGAACCCTCAAGAAGCACCCCGCACAAGCGAGGCCCTTCAGCAAACGCACCCGAGGGGGAGGAATCGAACGGGCCAGGCCGTTCTGTATACGCGCCCAAAACCGCATGGTGACCGCTGGAATTGGGGGGCCGCTCTTCGTCCCTGACTCTTAGCCCCTTTTCGGAGCAGGGCGAGATGAAACAACGGCAGCTCCAAATCGGTCCCGGCATCCCTCCGAGTGTCCAAAACGCACCAACGCACCTGAGGGGGAGGAATCGAACGGGCCAGGCCGTTCTGTCTACGCGCCCCAAACCGCATGGTGACCGCTGGAATTGGGGGGCCGCTCTTCGTCCCTGACTCTTCGCCCCTTTCCGGAGCAGGGCGGGAGGAGGAGGAGGAGGAGGAGGAGGAGGAGGAGGGAGGAGGAGGAGGAGGAGTGAGGAGGAGAGGAGGAGGGAGGAGGAGGAGGAGGAGGAGGAGGAGGAGGAGGAGGAGGAGGAGGAGGGAGGAGGAGGAGGAGGAGGAGGAGAGGAGGGGAGGAGGAGGAGGAGGAGGAGGGAGATGAAACAACGGCAGCTCCAACTCGGGCCCCACGTCCCTCCGAGGGCCCAAGACGCACCAGCTCCCCGCACTGCGCCCAGCCGTGGCGACGGAGGGCTCCCCCGAAGGCTCGGTAGCGTTGTCTCAGCTCGCCCTCCCCTGATCGTCGTCGTCGCCGCCGTTGTCGTCGGCTTTCGGTTCGTACCTCGGCGCTCCCGCGGTATTCCCTGACTCCAGATCCGCCCCACTTTGGCTTCTTTCCCAACCTAAAGCTGCGTCGGAAATCCACCCATAAGAGGCCGAACAAGTAGGGCGGCAATTTCGGCACCCAGCATAGAGTGGGGCGGAAATCCACAGAAGTAGGGCGGGAACAGCAGCAGAAAAGTAGGGCGGAAATTGGCATCAGCGGAGCTTGAAAAGTAGGGCGGAAATTCAAGCCTTACTTAAGAATTTCCCCAAAGTAGGGCGGATCCGGAGTCAGGGTCCCCTGATCCTCGTCGTCGCCGCCGTTGTCGTCGGCTTTCGGCTCGCACCTCGGCACTCCCGCGGCATTTCGGGAAGATCCGGGCACTTTCGGAACGCTCTCGGCGAAACGCAGCTGATGGAAAGCACCCCGAAACTGCCGAGGCTGAGAAACCGCCGAGAACCGACGAAAACGCCCGAAAACCTCTCAGCTCGCCCAGTGTGTCACCTCGCCGTCCAGGGAAAATGTCCAGACCTCCGAGGGTCCACGTTGTGAATCACGACGTCGGAACCCTCCCTGCCCATCCTCCTCAAGCTCCTCCTTTTTGATCTACGCAGGGGTCGTGTCGTGCCGACGCGGGGCAGAAACCGTCACGAGCGCTCAAAGCCACTGGCCCTGACCGCTGGAGACCAGGAGAGCCCAGAATCGAATCGATAATGTCAGCTGTGTCACCAACAAAAAGCCGGCGGGGCGTGCGATCAAACAAATGGTTCCCCTGCTCGGGCAAATCGCGGGGGGGGCCCGCCAAATGGTAAGACGAGGACGAGGGCGACCGTGGCACGTCAATAATCATCCTGAGAAAAAGGGGTCCCTATAGCAATTTCTATCAGAAAGGCAATCGTTTCGAGGCTGTCGTGCAGGGGGGGTGCACGATCCCCTGGGCGGCGCCCGCGACGACCCCCTGGCGCGCGTGACCCGGGGGGGGGCATCCAGTTGTTAATCGCAACCTGACATTAAGTCGGACTGGCGATCGAAATGAATCGACTTGGCAGAAATCGGCAGCCAAGTCGGGATGAGTCGACTCGGCAGAACTCCGCGCTCGGACCCAGGAAGGCCTCCACTGCGAGATCGGACTCCACGTCGGCACCCGAGGCCGAACTGAACTGGAACCGGAACCCCTCGAAGCCGAACCGAGTCCGAGCCGAACCGAGCCGAGAGGAGGAGGAGGAGGAGCAGGAGGAGGAGCAGGAGAGAGGGAGGGAGGGAGGGAGGGAGGGAGGGAGGGAGGGGTACGGCCGACCAGGAGGGGATACCGGTATCCGACCTCATACCCTTCTCTTTCTTTCATATCATCTTGTGACCTTCCAGGGCCCTCCTCCCTCCTTCTCCTCTCGCTCCACTTCCTTCTCCTCCTCCTCCCCCCTCTCCTCCTGCCTCTCCCTGCTCCTGCTCCTCCTCCTCCTCCTGCCTCTCACTGTCACTGCTCCTGCTCCTCCTCCTCCTTCCTCCTCCTCCCCCCCTTCGCCTCCCCCTCCTTTTCTTCCTTCAGCCTGGTTTTCGGGGTCTCCAGACCTTGGGATTTTTAAAAATTTTAAAAATTTTAAAAATTTTAAAAATTTAAAACACTTTTGAATTTTTAAAATTTTTTAAAATTTTTAAAAATTTAAAAGTTTGGGGGGTCCGGAGTTTCTGGGGGGTCCTGGCCGCCTGGTTTGCGGATTTCCCAGGCCCTGGGATGTTTAGAAATTTTAAAAATTTTAAAAATTTTAAAAATTTAAAACACTTTTGAATTTTTAAAATTTTTTTTTAAAAATTTAAAAGTTTGGGAGGTCCGGAGTTTCTGGGGGTCCTGGCCGCCTGGTTTGCGGATTTCCCAGGCCCTGGGATGTTTAGAAATTTTAAAAATTTTAAAAATTTTAAAAATTTAAAACACTTTTGAATTTTTAAAATTTTTAAAATTTTTAAAAATTTAAAAGTTTGGGAGGTCCGGAGTTTCTGGGGGGTCCTGGCCGCCTGGTTTGCGGATTTCCCAGGCCCTGGGATGTTTAGAAATTTTAAAAATTTTAAAAATTTAAAACACTTTTGAATTTTTAAAATTTTTAAAATTTTTAAAAATTTAAAAGTTTGGGAGGTCCGGAGTTTCTGGGGGGTCCTGGCCGCCTGGTTTGCAGATTTCCCAGGCGACTCCCCCCCAGGCGTGTAACGGTGCAGTTTAACAGAAACGGTCTTCAAGATTTTCTGCTACCTCTGGGAGGTTGGATTGGACCCCGACTCCGAACCCAACGCCGACGACGCCGCCGCCGCCGACGACGACGACGGCGGCGGCGGCAGCGGCGGCGACGGTGGTGGCGGCGGAGGCGGCAGCGGCGGCGGCGACGACGACGACGACTACGGTCGATCGCCGGCGGTGTCCGATTCGTCCCGCGTGGCCCGGACCGCCACCGGGGACTCGAGCTGCGACCGGAAGGGCCGCTACCGGAAGGTGCGCTGTCGGCACCCCGCGGGCCGCTACCACCTCTCGTCGTCGCCGC